GCTGCTTGGCCTGCTGTGTTCATCCAGCTCTACACCTTGTTATCTCTTAAAGCAGACAGTGTACTTGGTTTTATTGATAGGCTCACAACAGCAAGGAGGTAATGTTGAACTTCCACAGGATACTAGTTATACCTCAGTTGGAGTACTGAGTACACGCCACTTTGAGAAAGATGGAAACACTTTGCAGAGAGAGTGCAGAAGAGGATTGCAGAAATGGTCACAGAGATGAGAAGCTTCAGCGACAGATGGGAGAAACCATGAATGCTTCCCCAATGTTCCAGGGAAAATAGCCCCAGCCTATTCAGCCTCTCCCTGTAGCTCAAACCCTCCAACCCTGGCAACATCCTTGTAAATCTTTTCTGAACCTTTGAAAGTTTCACGACATCCTTCCGATAGCAGGGAGACCAGAATAGTATTCTAAAACTGGCCTAACTGATGTCCTGTACAGCCCCAACGTGACCTTCCCAACTCCTATGCTCAACACACTGACCAATAAAAGCAAATGTAACAAATGCCTTCTTCACCGCCCTGTCTACCTGCGACTCCACTTTCAAGGAACTATGAACCTGCTCCCCAAGGCCTCTTAATGCTCCCCAAGACCTTACCATTAAGTGTATAAGTCCTGCCCTGATGTGCCTTTCCAAAATGCAGCACCTCACATTTATCGAAATTAAACTCCACCTACCACTCCTCGGCCCATTGGCCCATCTGATCGAGATCCTGTGGTACTCTGAGGTAACCTCCTTCGCTGTCCACTACACCTCCAATTTTGCTATCATCTGCAAACTTACTAACCATAACTTCCTATGTTCACATCTAAATCATTTGTATAAATGACGAAAAGCTGTGGGCCCAGCACCGATCCCTGTGGCACACCGCTGGTCACAGGCCTCCAGTCTGAAAAGCAACCCTCCACCACCACCCTCTGTCTCCAACCTTCGAGCCAGTTCTGTAACCAAATGGATAGTTCTCCCTGTACTCCATGTGATCTAACCTTGTTAACCAGTGTACCATGTGGAACCTTGTCAAACACCTTACTGAAGTCCATATAGACAACATCCACTGCTCTACCCTCATCAATCCTCTTTGTTGCTTCTTCAAAACAGTCAATCAAGTTAGTGAGACATGATCTGCCATGCACAAAGCCATTTTTACTATCCCTAATCAGACCTTGCCTTTCTGAAAACATGTAAATCCTATCCCTCAGGATTCCCTCCAACAACTTGCCCACCACCGATGTCAGGCTCACTGGTCTACAGTTCCCTGGCTTTCCCTTACCACCTTTTTTAAATAGTAGCGCCACATTGGCCAAACTCCAGACTTCCATCACCTCACCCGTGGCTATCGATGATACAAATATCTCAACAAGGGGCCCAGCAATCACTTCCCTAGCTTCCCACAGAGTTCTAGGGTACACCTGATCAGGTCCCGGAGATTTATCCACCTTTATGCATTTTAAGACGTCCAGCATCTCCACCTCCATAATATGGAATGTTTTTCAAGATGTCGCTATTTATTTCCCCAAGTTCTCCAGCTGCCGTATCCTTCTCCACAGTAAACACTGATGCAAAATACTGGTTTAATATCTCCCCCATCTCCTGCAGTTCCACACACAGGTGGCCTTGCTGATCTTTAAGGGGCCCTATTCTCTCCCTAGTTACCCTTTTGTCCCTAACGTATTTGCAGAATCTCTTTGGATTCTCCTTAACCCTATTTGCCAAACTTATCTCGTGTCCCCTTTTCGCCCTCCTGATTTTCCTATTAAGTAAACTCCTACTGCCTTTGTACTCTTCTGGGGATTCACTCAATCTCTGCTGCCTATATCTGACACACGTTTCCTTCTTTTTCTTGTCTAAAACCTCAATTTCTCTAGTCATCCAGGATTCCCTACACCTACCAGCCTTACCCTTCACCCTAACAGGAACATAATGTCTCTGGATTCCTGTTATCTCATTTTTGAAAGCTTCCCATTTTCCAGCCATCCCTTTACCTGCAAACATCTGCCCCCAATCAACCTTTGAAAGTTCTTGCTTAATACCGTCAAAACTGGCCTTCCTCCAATTTCGAACTTTAACTTTTAGATCCGGTCTATCCTTTTCCATCACTATTTTAAAATTAATAGAATTATGGTCACTGGCCCCAAAGTGCTCCCCAACTGACACCTCAGTCACCTGGCCTACCTTATTTCCCAAGAGTAGGTCAAATTTTGCACCTTCTCTAGCAGGTACATCCACACACTGAATCAGAAAATTTTCTTGTACATACTTAACAAATTTCTCTCCATCTAAGCCCTTAACACAATGGCAGTCCGAGTCTATGTTTGGAAAGCTAAAATCCCCTACCATAAACACTTTATTATTCTTACAGATAACTGAGATTGCCTGACAAATTTGTTTCTCAATTTCCTGCTGACCACTGGGGTGGGTCTACAGAACAATCCCAATGAGGTGATCATCCCTTTCTTATTTCTCAGTTCCCTGGGTGTTATTCCCAGGAATATCCTCCCTAAGTACAGCCATAATGGTGTTCCTAACCAAAACTCTGTTCCCCCTCCTCTCTTGTGCCCCTTTCTATCCTTCCAAAGCATCTTTACCTTAAACATTAAGCTGCCAATCCTGTCCATTCCTGAGCCACATTTCTGTAAACGCTGTGATATTCCAGTCCCATATTCCCAACTATGCACCCTGAGTTCATCTGCCTTACCTGTTACTCCTTTTGCTTCGAAATAAATGCAGTTTAATTTTTCAGTCCTACCTCGCTCTCTGCTTTGTTCCTGCCTGTTCGACTTGCTCCTTTTCCCAGCTGTATCAGTCTCAGACTGATCTCTTTCCTCACTACCTCCCTGGGTCCCATGACCCGCACCCCCAAACTTACAAGTTTGGCTTTTCTCTGGATTGGCAGCGTCCAAAACTAGAGGGGCATAGGTTTAAGGTGAGAGGGGGAAGATTTAAAAGGGACCTGAAGGGCAACTTTTTCACATATATGGAACGAGCTGCCAGAGGAAGTGGTGGAGGCTGGTACAATGACAACATTTAAAAGGCATCAGGATGGGTATATGAATAGGAAGGGTTTAGAGGCATATGGGCCAAATGCTGGCAAATGGGATGACATTAATTTGGGATATCTGGTCGGCATGGACAAGTTGGACCAAAGGGTCTGTTTCTGTGCTGTGCATCTCTATGATTCTTTGAAGAGAAGGCAACTTGATTGAAGAGATTTGAGATGATTTTTCCAAAGCATGAGTAGAGAGGGCGAAACTGTTACTGCTCGTCAAAGGTGCAAGAATGCAGGGCTACAGATTCAAAGTAATTTACACAGGACATAAATACAATTTGAGAGAAAAAAAAAGACTGGAAGGTACAGCCTGGGAGTATGGGGAAGATAGATTCACTGAGGTGTTCAAGAATTAATTACGAGTTTACAAATGAACAGAATAACAGGGCAAAAGGATATGATTAAACTGGAGAGGTTTCAAAAGAGATTTTCCAGGATGTTGCCGTGATTGGAGGATTTGGCAGTTAAGAGTCAACAGACATTGCTGTGGGTCTGGAGTCATATATAGGCCCAGACCAGGTAAGGATGGCAGTTTCCTTCCCTGAAGGACGTTAATGAACCAGATGGGTTTTTCTGACAATTGACAATGGATTCACGGTCATCATTAGATTCTTAATTCCAGATATTTTTATTGAATTCAAATTCCACCATCTGCCATGGCAGGATTCAAACCCAGGTCCCCAGAACATTATCTAGGTCCTGGATTAACTGTCCAGCGATAATACCACGAGGCTATTGCCTCCCCTAAATATCTACTCTGTTAGATACAGAGTAAAGCTCCCTCAACACTGTCCCTCATCAAACAATCCCAGGACAGGGACAGCACGGGGTTAGATACAGAGTAAAGCTCTCTCTACACTGTCCCCCATCAAACACTCCCAGCACAGGGACAGCACGAGGTTAGATACAGAGTTAAGCTCCCTCAACACTGTCCCCCATCTAATATTCTTAGAACGTTGTACAAGACATTAGTTGGGCACCTTCTGGAGTACTGCGTGCTGTTTTGATCGCCCAGTTATAGGAAGGAAACTATTCAAGTGGAGAGGGTTTCTGTAAGACTAACCAAGATGTTACGAGGAATAGAGAGTTTGAGTTATGAAAATAGACTGGGACTTTTTTCACTGGAACGTAGGAAGTTGAGGGGTGACCTTACAGAATTCATAAAATCATGAGGAGCATAGATAGGGTGAATAGCAAAGATCTTTTCCCTAGGGTGGGGGATTTCAAGGCTAGGGGGACATATTTTTAAAGTGAGGGGAGAGAGATTCAAAAAAGACATGAGGGGCGACTCTTTTACACAGAGAGTGGTTTGTGTGTGGAATGAACTTCCTGAGGAAGTGGTGGGTGTGGGTACAGTTACAACGTTTAAAAGATATTTGGATAAGGACATGAATAGGAAATGTTTGGACGGATATGGGCCAGGAGCAGGCAGGTGGGGACTAGTTTAGTTTGGGACTATGGTCGGCATGGACTGGATGGACCGAAGGGTCTGTTTCCGTGCTGTGTGACGCTCATATGAATGCCAGTGATGAGGCAATGGGACAGTTCAGTATCTGGGTTCAAAGGGCAGGAGAAGGAGGACTGTGATTTAGAAAGAAGGTAGAGGTGACCAACTATGGTTATGGGATGAAAACAGCCAAGGGATAGTCAACTATGGTGATTAAAGGTAATGGTGTTGGAAGCTGGTCAGCATTGATGATGGTGCAGACAGCAATGAGCACACATGGTGTTTGGCTCTCACAGAGTTGCAGCAGAGGTGGCCAATCATGGTCTTTGGGATTCATGGGCATGTTGAGAGATGGTCAACTCTGGTCTCTATGGTATATGGTGTGAATAGAGGAGGGTAGCTATAGTTATTAAAGTTAATGGGGAGACAACACTCAGGAAATTTCCAAAAAAACATGGGAACCAACCAATTCATATTGATGGGGTGGACAAAGTCTGACTTTAGAACAACAGAACTGGTGGAGTTTGGGGGACGTGTAGACGGAGCTTTAATCTGTATCTAACCCTGTGCTGTCTCTGTCCTGGGAATGTTTGATGGGGGGACATGCCGAGGGATCTTTACTCTGTATCTAACCCCGTGCTGTCTCTGTCCTGGGAGTGTTTGATGGGGGTAGTGTAGAGGGACCTTTACTCTGTATCTAACACCGTGCTGTCCCTGTCCTGGGAGTGTTTGAAGGGCAAACAGCGTAGAGGGAGCTTTACTCTATATCTAACCCACTGTTGTCCCTGTCCTGGGAATGTTTGATGGGGGGACAGTGTAGAGGAAGCTTTACTCTATATCTAACCCCATGCTCTCCTTGCCTTGGGAGTGTTTGATGGGGGTCAGTGTGGAGAGAGCTTTACTCTGTGTCTAATTCCATGCTGTATTTTCCCTGGTCAAATTTGACATTGGCTGGAACTGTACCAATATTCATGTGAACATCTTAAAGAGGCTGATAAATTGATGAGGTGAAGAACGTGTCCAATTATAAAGTCGCTGTCCTTTCTGTTTGCAGAGCCCGTTGCAGGGGTCATGGTGACCATGATGCCCAACGATACCAACTCCGTGCAGAATGTAACTCTGAGTTGCTCAGCGGAGCATGGCACACGACCGGAATTCTTCTGGACAAAGGATGGGAAGAACATCACGGAGACAGGGAGATTGTCCATCAGGAATTTTGGACAGGCTCTAGTTATGCACATGGTCAGTGTGGAGGACTGTGGGATCTACACATGCCTGGTTGCAAATCAACTCAACAGCAGGACCCAGAGCTTGAATCTTTTAGGTAGTGGCTTGTTGCTACATTAATGTCATTCATCAAACTTTGCACACTCACGTTGGATATTGTCTCCTGGTAGATGGGACCCTATAAGCGGACAACACTTTATTGAACAATCATGTGTGAGCTAAGCAGGCGTTCCAACAACCAATTTCATAGAACGTACTGGAACAACTCCGAAGGTCTGTGGAGAGAGGGGAATGGAATTAAGATTTTGAGACCAGAATTAGAGACCAGGTTTGAGTCCAATTCAGAAATAGCAGGAGGTTATGAGTATTTTACGACTGAAAAGCAAGGAGGTGAAATCGGGTCACATTGGTGGGTCTGGGAAAGGCTAAGGCAGATTGCAGATCACAAGTCTGATTGTGTAAAAGATAATGGGAGTGTTAATCGCTATAGAGAGGACAAGGTACAAGTCGTTTTCCTACAACGTGATCGTTGGGTTCTTGTCTGACCTTGCACTATAGAAAATCGCGTTATAGGGAAATCGTTATACCTGTACAGCAGAAAGTTTGCGCTATCCAACAGCATCCACTGTTCATCAATCACGTTACAACCAATTCCCGTCAACAAAACACACAATAGAGCAGGACTACCTGTATAAATCGAGAAGAGGTGTTAATGGCAGAGATAAGATGTACTCAACCTGAAAGCAAGACTATGAGAATATATTACTACAGGTTATTGGAGGTGGAGAGGGGGAATGTCCAAATAGAGGGACTCAAGTCAATGAAACGTCTTTTTAATTCACTCAAGGGGCTGTGGGTGTTGCTGCCTGGGCCCAGCATTTATTCCCGTCCCCACCTGTCCCTTGAGAAGGTGAGGGTGAACTGCCTTCTTGAACTGCTCAGGTCCATGTGCTGTAGGGTTGACCCACAATGCCCCTTAGGGAGGGAATTCCAGGATTTTGACCCAGCAACACTGACGGAACGGCCAATATGTTTCCAAGTCAGGATGGGGAGTGGTTCAGAGGGGAACTTGCAGGGGGTGGTGTTCCCATGTATCTGCTGCCCCTTGTCCTTCCAGATGGAAGTGGCTGTGGGTTTGGAAGGTGCTGCCTGAGGATCTTTGGTGAATTTCTGCAGAGCATCTTGTAGATGGTACACACTGCTGCGACTGAGCGTCGGTGGGGGAGGGAGTGGGATGTTTGTGGATGTGGTGCCAATCAAGCGGGGGCTGCTTTGTCCTGGATGGTGTCGAGCTTCTTGAGTGTTGTTGGAGCTGCCCCCATCCAGGGCAAGCGGGGAGTATTCCATCACACTCCTGACTTGTGCCTTGTCGATGATGGGACAGGCTTTGGGGAGTCAGGAGGGGAGTTACTCACTGCAGGATTTCCAGCCTCTGACCTGCTCTTGTAGCCGCTGTGTTAATGTGGTGGGTCCAGTTGAGTTTCTGGTCAATGGTAACCCCCAGAATGTTGATAGTGGGGGATTCAGTGATGGGAACACCAGTGAACATCAAGGGGTGATGATTAGATTCTCCCTCATTGGAGATGGTAATTGCTGGAACTTGTCATAGAGGGATAGAGATGTACAGCACGGAAACAGACCCTTCAGCCCAACTCGTCCATGCTGACCAGACATCCCAAACTAAACTAGTCCCATTTGCCAGCATTTGGCCCGTATCCCTCTAAACCCTTTCTATCCATGCGCCCATCCAGATGCCTTTTAAATGTTGTAATTGCACCAGCCTCCACCACTTCCTCTGGCAGCTCGTTCCATACGTGCACCACCCTCTGTGTGAAAAAGTTGCCCCTTAGGTCCCTTTTAAATTTTATCCCTCTCACCTTAAACCTGTGCCCTTCAGTTCTGAGGAAGGGTTTCCAGATCTGAAACGTTATCTCTGATGTCTCTGCACAGATGCTGCCAGACCTGCTGAGCTTTTCCAGCGATTTCTGTTTTAGCCTCTAGTTTTGGACTCCCCTACCCTGGGGGAAAGACCTTTTCTATTCACCCTATCCATGCCCCTCATGATTTTATAAACCTCTATAAGGTCACCCCCTCAGCCTCTGACCCTCCAGGGGAAGAAACTCCCAGCCTCTTCAGCCTCTCCTTATAACTCCAACCCTCCAGTCTCGGTAACATCCTTGTAAATATTTTTTGCACCTTTCCAGTTTAATGACATCCTTCCTGTAGCAGGGAGACCAAGATTGAACGCAGTATTCCAAAAGTGGCCCTAACCAATGTCCTGTACAGCCCCAACATGACCCTCCCAACTCCTATACTCAATGCACTGACCAATAAAGGCAAGCGTACCAAACACCTTCTTCACCGCCCTGTCTACCTGTGACTCCACTTTCAAGGAGCTACTTCCCTGAAATCTCTAGGTTTACAACAATCCTCAGGGCCCTACCATTAATTCCTGGAAACATTAAGTCCTGGAGTGCTGTGAATGTTGCGCCCCATTTGGGAGTCCTACCTGCACATCGTCCCCGATATATTTTCATATCCTTGGTAGTTGAGGAGATATCTTTTTTTATTTTGTAAATATTCCTCCATTGCTCTCTTGGGAAGGGACTTCCACGCCACCCTTTTTAAGAAAAAAATTCTCCTCCTCTCTGATTTAAATGGGCATACCCTTTTTAAAGGATGTTCGCTTGTCCCCTAGGGATCCTAAAATCTCCTCTCATTTTTTGGGTATGTATCCAGCCTATCTAACCTTTCCCGATGAGGTAAATTGCACCTCCACCCAGATCCCAGGAATCTGTCAAGCAAACCTTCGCTGAACTGCTTTCCAACACCTTTTTCAATATGGGTTTGAAAAGTTTGCACTGTGCACCAGAACTGGGCTCAAATCCTCCTTGTATAGCTGTGTCAAAGCAGCTCAATCTTACAGGAGATCGATGTTCCTGCTCCTTGGATGCTGTCTGACCTGCCGTGCTCCTCCAGCTCCATGTTTTAATGTCTCAATTTTATTCCCTGTTCCCCTCACCAAAGGCAACACCATCCCATTTGCCTTCCGACTCACTGTCTGCGCCTATACGCAAACCTTTTTAGTGAGGCTTACACCATTACAGTCAGATCCCTCTGCGTGTCAGAGATCTGTGATCTCCCTTCAGATATTCTGTCCTCTCAATGTGGTCAGGCTCACGTTTTACTGCATTGTATTCCAACACCCAGCTCTTCAATCCGCCCATGTTAGCAATCTGTATCTCTTATGGCCTCCTCTCAGCTTATTTCTCTACCTAGGTTTTAGAACTACAATTAGAATGACCTTTGATTGTCACATCAGTGCAGTGAAAAATTGATAAGTTGCCCGTAAAGTACAAAGGTACCGCGCACAGGATCACAGGAATAAATTAGAAGAGTAAAGAAATAAAAAGTTCAACATTTAGAGTCATCTTAGGTGCAAGGAACCTAGGTCCATTAGCATCTCTGCGTTTGATTGTATGTGTTTGTGTGTGTGTTTCTGTGTGTATGTATGTCTGTGTGTGTGCATGTATGTGTTTGTGCCTGTGTGTGCATGTCTGTCTGTGTGAGAGTCTCTGTGTGTGTGCATCTGTGTGTGTCTGTATTTGTGTGTGTGTGTCTATATGTGAGCACATGCCTGTGTGTGTGTCTGCAT